GTGTGTGTGTGTGTGTGTGTGTGTGTGTGTGTGTGTGTGTGTGTGTGAATGCAGTTAGGTGCTACTTATTCTTGGTTTGCCTCAAATGTTGGCTTGACTGTAATCCTTTCTGTCTGCGGGTTTGCACCTTTGGGAATCCATCTGTGTTTGTGTGTGTTGTTATAATGCACTTATATAAGGGTAGGTTAAAGTATGTGCCATAAACCAGTGTTGACAGTGCAATACTTTATAAGTTATTTCTCTTTAAGCTAATTGGAATTGATGCACACCATGAAGCTGCAACTTCAAAACAATTTCAAATGTCAAAACATCACAAATATCAAGTGAAACGAGCATTCCCCAACAACCATTACTAGACTTCAGTTTGTCATTTCTGCACCACACATAGAATAAGTACAAAACAGTTTTAATATTAGCATTTCCAGAGGCACCACAACACATGTATAGGCAGTTATTAGCAACAGAAACAGAGAAATCCTCATCCAGAACAATCAGCAGTTACCCCCTCCATCAGTTTAGAGGGGGTCGGTCACAATTTGTATTTTTATTTTTTATCCACAGTCCACCTACAACACAAGTACAAGTAGGGGATGGAACCCACACATAGAACACCTGCTTTTCTGTGAGTCAGTAGTAACTGATGAACAGGAAAGGAATGACGGAGCAGAGACAAATGGACCAAATCATCATATGGAATATTGCAGAGGAATTAAGAAGGGAGTGAAAGGGTGCTATTCATCATTGAGGCTGCTCGGAGCCAAACCATCTTCATCTGCTCTCGTTCTCTCTCGCTCTTTCCATATGTTTTTTTCAGCCATATCTGATTCTAGGGGGTAGATATTGGATCCTTTGAGCTAAGCCAGTTAATATATGTCCTTTCTGCTTTATGCGTTTATCTGAGCCGATCAGTCAGAGATGAAGAGATTGTCTGTTTGTGTGAATGGGAGAGAGAGGGGCCCGTAAGGGGAAGGTGGCAAAGATAGCGAGAAACAATATTCTACTGCTTTACACTGTCACGGCTGATAAAAAAAAAATAAAGAAAAGACTGCTTGCGCTTATTCTTGATTGATTTGTTTAAGCTGGTTGAATCCGATATTAAAGCAGCACTCTAATTTTTGCCACCGGGCATTGCAGAGCGATATCTTCAACACAGCATCATTTTCACACTTCAGACTCACTAAACTGTCTGTCAGCAGCAGTCAAACATTGAGAAGGCCTCAACTCCACAGGGATCGGTGACGAGAGAGATTGATATCAGTGTACTGTATAATCATTGGAGGACGGGGTTCTCTCTGTCAGAGATAAAGACAAATGGCTTCTGTGAATGAAAAGTCCTCCCCTTATAGATAAATCCCAAGTTGCCATCAGCAGTGCCCTGCAACTCAAACGAGCATGCCATCTGTTGAGACCCCATTCACCCTCGCAACACACACACACATGATTGCACGCTCACAATCTGTGGGCTCCGCTGCAGTCATTGGGGAGTTAACATGGTCAGTGAACCTAATGAGACTGGAACAGTATACTATAGATAATAACACTGGACAAGGATATATATAGAGGGAAGGCAGGGCAAAGTAAACTCAATGAGCTTTGGATCAAAACATACTTAACACTGAGAAAATAGAAAAAGTGAATATACTTTTTTTTTCGTTGAGCAGGTCAGAGAATGCGGAATCAAAAGCTTTGAGTACGGCCTTATCGTAATGTACATATTGTAACATAATTGCACATAATTATCATCAATCACACCTCGCTGGTAGCTAATAGACATGTATAATAAGGATGGAGTTCCATATTACCACACCAGGTCTTATTTTACCCTCGGTGTACTTGGATAAAATATCACCTATTTTGTTAATGATAAGTGCAGACTTCCATATTTGAAGTGCTCACTTTAGGGCTTATAGCACAATGTTTCAATGGTAAAAAGGTTGCACTTCAATCAATGTTTTGAAAATGCACATGCAAATAAAAAGTAAAGGGAGCTACAGTATACGGCTGAAACCACACAGACCATTGTTTTGTGGTTTGTGGACTCTAAAAGGCTTTGCTCAAGAATTGTAAAGTTCACTCAATAAATCATTACACTGAGAAAAGTAGAAGAACTTAAAAAGAACACAATTGCACATACGCACTTTTTTACAGATGAAAGCATTTACAGTAAAAACACATCCATTTTTCTTTCACTCAATTTCTATCTCTCTCACACACACACACACACAGCAAGCTGATTCCTGTCCCCAATCAAGCTCCATTTTCAAACCAAATTAATTCTTTCTAATTTGGATTTTCTAGTGGCCACCCCCTGTGGTGCGCTGCAACTGAGGTAAGTGTGTGTGTGTGTGTGTGTGTGTGTGTGTGTGTGCGTGTGCGCACACATTCATATGCTTTCGTGTGTGTGTATGAAGTAGGGAACATTCTACAATAGATCTTAATTGAGAGGACGGACTGCAATCAGCATGTTCTTGTAGGAAATCATTAAATCATTTCTTCCTCCCCTCTCCTTTTCTCTTTCTCTTTCTCGTGGTGATTAGCATGGTAATGATAGCATCCTGATTACGTCCATCACAAAGATCTGACATCTGTGGTCTCTCCAGTTGTTATACTGAGGAAATGAAAGAACTGGCAACACAACGCATGCATAACCTATTCACTAAATAACCTAAATGGTGTACATTTCTGATTAAACTGAAGTTATTGATCTTCATTATCTGTGCATGACTACTTTGAGTGAAAAATATATAATTTTGCTGTAGTGTGTTATATGTAAACACATGGAAATGGAGGAAATGCAGCTTTTTAATATCTCATCATCATGATGAGTGTTTGTTTTTTCACTTCATAACTTCAAAACACGTCTCCTGGAAAACAGTCAACGTCTGATGGAGCAATTTTCCTTAAAGTCAATGAGTCGACCTGCTTTCTGTATTATAGAAACTGCAGCATGCACTGTGACAACAGAGAGGTATCTAGTGGCCAGGAAGGTTTTATTATTATTATTTTATTAATATAGACCTCACTTTTTTGATCCGAGATGTGGAGCTGCATGCTTCAGTAAAAGCTCTTGACTTGTCAGACATAAAGAACACCTTCTAGTTCAGCCTCCACTCATTAGACTTTGGATCCAGTGGGCACACAATGAATTCTCACAGAGGCTTTTCTTTTATCTCTCCAACACAAGAGACATAGCAAATACGAGAGAGAAGCAATGTGTAGAAGCTCAGGAGAGAAGAGTCAATGAATAGGCAGGACAGTCAATGGAGCCTTCGTTTTATTCAAACCCAGCCGCTATCGTTCATCACTGAGACTCTTCTTTCTGTTTGCACTGACTAAACATTAGTCACATAAAATACCTACAAAGTTTAATTCTTTTAATTTCTGCCCTAAGATTTAAAACTGCCGTGGCTAACGGAGAGCTCTTCTACAGAATGCAGTTATTTATCAAACATGGTGCTTTCTCATTAGCTTTCTCTGCACTTCTATATGATGCAGGTTGTTAGTAGAAAGTCTGTGCCTTGCAACATCTGTATTTTTAGATTAACAATTAAAGTGGCCCTCTCTGTGTCCAAAACTAGTTGAGTGATTGAGGAAAATGGCTTTTACTCTTTCTGTTTTCACTCATTTTATTTTAACAGATGAGCAACAGTTGTTAAGACTCAGACTTCCATATGTAACATGTAGACAAACTCACATGTACAGTGTGCACCCCTATTGTCTTTCCTCCATGATAAGAATCATCTCTCCCGTGATATAGTTTTTTGTTCTTGTCTCCCCATCTCACTATTTTCTCTCTCTCTCTCTCCTCTGTGCCTCATTAGGAGATGGCTAAGATATTGAATCACCCGCGCGTCTATGCCTTCCTTCATGTTCCCGTGCAATCGGCCTCAGACAGCGTCCTGATGGACATGAAGAGAGAGTATTGCATCGATGACTTCAAAAAAGTGGTGGACACACTCAAAGAGAGGTAAGACACGGTGTGGAGTCCTAATGGGGCTCATAATGCTGCAGCGTCTCCCGATGACACCGTGTTGTTCTTCTCTCACTTCTTTCATTCAGCATACCTTGTTGAATAACCTTTAAAAAAAGTCAAATTACTACACCATGAGTGTCTATATATATATATATATATATATATATATATATATATATATGTGTGTGTGACTACATCGATGAACTTTAAAATAGCGATGAGTGGGCTCCTGTATGTCCGAGGTGTCGTGACATCTCAGAGGTGTTTATTTGGAGAATTTTTCTCTCTCTCTGACCAGCATTGCTCTCTTTTATTCTCTCTCTGGCTCACTTCGAGTCTCATACGGGTGAAACTACATATGAGGGAATGTTTAATTTGAATTGTGCACGAATCTTTGTGGTTGTAACTGTATATCTGTCAATTTGATACAGTGATCCTTATATTGCCACTGCTGTCAGGTGTATGTCACATAAAGCAAATGCAAGCTATGAAAACAAGCTTACCTTTTAGCTGCACAAAAGTTTAAAGACTCGAGTGATGTGTGTTTTTCTCTTTGGCTGCAGTCTTTCCCTCTTTATGTCACTTCTCATTCATCAGGGCACTACTTTGCAAGGTTACATATTTCAAACATGGACTTAATAGACTCATTGAAAGAGAGCTGACTGCACAACTCTTTGAATATTTCAGCCTTGACTCCTGACTCGCTTTGTGTTTGAGCTGTGTTCTTCCAAAAAACATACACACGTGCCGCGAAACGTGCGCATTCCTGATATGGATTCAAGAAAAACTGGAACATGAACATATAATGCATGGATCCGACCTGTGACATGGCACAAAAGAGAAGGAATGATGCAAACTTAATCTTTTACTGTATGAAAGATAATCTGACATGGAATTTGAGAATGAATAATTATGGCAGTGCACGTGAGGGTTGGTGAGTGAATATAGAATTGATGCTCCGATGATACGCTATGAAGAGGTTCATATTAAAATGAGATTCAATGCCTTGAATTTCTAGGTATTATTGTGTGATTTAGAAGAAAGATCTAGATGTATGCAATGGTGTGTGTATATATAAGCATGTAATTGCTTTTGCCAGATGATAATCTCTTATTTTTAAGAAAGTAATCCCTTTTTTTTCTCCTGGATATAAATGACAATTCATGTTTTGAGATTAATTCAGTATAAGGTATTTGTGCTACATTTGATTATATATGTCAGAGATTTACAGACAGTGAGGGAGACCGAGTAAGTCTGGACATGGACTCACTCTCATCAATGTCCAGATAATCATGAGAGACTTATTCAGCCCAATGGGTACTGGTTAATAATCCAGTGTGCACTTTTCTCTGTTGAATTATGTTGCTGTATATATATATGTTGACATATTTGTCTTTTTGATGTTGCAGATTAAAGTCATTTTGTTAACACAGTGTGCTGTAAGAAGATGAAATGTACTGCAGCAATCAATAGATTTCATGGAACTGCTTCATGCAGGTCAACAGTCAAGCCATAGGCTTAAATATCCAACGTACATCTGGGTGAACAGGACTTGTATCCAGGTCACTGTGGAGCTATCTACAGTTAAAGCCTTGTGCATTTACCTAAATGGACAGTGAGTGTGTGTGTGGTATTTGTGCATCTGTCACTCTGTGGGTCACTATGTCTCTTTAGATCACTCACACACACTTTTCTCTGTTTCTCGTATCTCCCCCCCCCCCCCCCCCCCCCCCCGGCACTGTATAGAAACCCACCAACCCGAACACAAGCTGTTAGCTTGAAATCCGGCTCTGTTCAAGTTGTGCTGTTAAACAATTCAGCAAAAGCCCATGCACAATGTAAATGTTAGGTCCAGTTTGTTAATGGTAGATACGTTAATAACTTGAAGTGAGTATGGAAGTGATGAATCACAATGAAAATGTTACATATAGCATGCTTAAGCTTTATAATCCTATTTTCCTCTTTGGATTTTATAAGCAAGGGTTTCTTGTTTCTAACAGACGATTTACACTCGCTTTTCTCTCTCCATCTGTCATCTTTTCTGTTCTAGTCTGTTTTTCATTTTCAGGTCTCTCTGTGTGTGTGTGTGTGTGTGTGTGTGTGTGTGTGTGTGTGTGTGTGTG